GCCTACAGGGCACTTATACCCCCTTTCTGCCCAGGCCAATTTCCAGCTTTCAGCGCTGTCACACTTTTGAATGACAATTGCGCGGTCATGCAACACTGTACCCATATGAAATTTTTATCATTTTTATGTGACAAATAGAGCTTTATTTGGTGGTATTTAATCACCTCTGGGTTTTTTATTTTTTCTAAAACCAAAAACCACTGAAAATCTTGAAAAAAAAAGTTTTTTCATTAGTTGTTATAAAATTTTGTAAATAAGTGATTTTTCTCCTCCTTCACTGATGTGTGCTAATGGGGCTGCAGTGATGGGCACTGATAAGGCACTGGTAGGTGGCACTGATGGGCATTGACAGGCATCACTGATGGGCACTGAAAGGCAGCACTGATATATGGCACTGACGCACACTGATAGGCGGCACTGATGGGTGACACTGAAAGGCAGTTAAGATGGGCACTGATATGTGGCATTGATGTGCACTGGTAGGCACTGATATGTGGCATTGATGGGCACTGGCAGGTGGCATGGATGAGCACTGAGAGCTGGCACTGATGGCCACTGACAGGTGGCACTGCTGGGGGGCTACACTGATCATCAGTGCACATGTCCCCTCCGAGGAATGCGGATTACTGGCTCTCCTCTCCTCACGAGAAGTCAGCGTGACAGCTCGTGAGGAGAAAAATGCCGATAACCGGCATTTCCCTGTTTACATGCGATCAGCTGTGATTGGACACAGCTGATCACATGACCGAGCCGACATCTGCAGCTCTTCCTGTGGATCGGTGATCCGCTGTATCTGCATTGTGTAAAAAGGCTGATTGATCCTTTCTTCTCTGCACCTCCTCTTGTTGAAATGACCACCTGATACAGACTGAATCCGTAGTCACATGCACAGTTTGGTGTGTATTGCTAGAGAGGTTTTTTGTTTTCTTGGGAGAGTGCATGTGATCAGCAAAGGGCCAATCAGCACTGTCCAGATAGAGGACCAAGGGTTTCACATCCTCCTAGAGTAGAAAGAAAACTCCTCCTACAAGCTTTACCAGGGCTCTAATTAAGTCACAAGACTGCTCAAACTGCTGATGAAAAAAGTTATTTAGCAGTTTATATTTACTAAAATAATTGCATTTCCATGTTGTGTGTACTGTGGGAGACCAGATATAGTGAATGCAGGGTCCTGGGTTTAGTAACACTTTAATGCTTACAGTTTGGGAGGGAGAGACCCGAGGTAACAAAGTGCTATAGCTACTTCATTGTCCAATTAATCTGAGGCAGCATAGTAAATGAAGCCACTTTGTCTCATTAGTTTTCTACTAGATGGGTAAGCCATTATAATTTCATGAGACTGTTGAACTGTGCACAGGTGGGTTGTTTGCACCTCAGGGATGTTGAATTCATATCATCCGACGCCCGAGACATGTAGTTCCGGGCACCAGGTAGTTATTTTTTTACCTTTAGCCCTGCTGCTTGCCTTGCTTCACCTGTCACCTGCCGATTGCTTTCAAACAGTGCCAGCCTCCCTCCAACAACCCCCCGTCCGTGAGGTCTCCCGGGCTCTGCTTGCCCATCTGTGGGCCCAGGACCAGATCACTGTCAGCGGCAACAGAGGAGGGAGGAGACCCTGGATGGCTCAATAAAGAGAACCTGTCACCAAAAATCATCACATAGGGGACAAAGTCCCCTATGTGATGAAAAAAAAAGTAAAAAAAATAAAAATTATATTTTTCTTTTTTTTTCATTGTAAAAAATTAAAGCTACACCCAAGGACATACCATCCCCCCCCTCCCACACATATATGCACATACAAACATAAAAGCACACGCTGGAGCACCTACGCATGAAAACGTCGACTGCGATAAACGTTACATATCACCGCGCACCACAATGAGAGCAATAATTCTAGCACCAGACCTCCTTCTTAACGCTAAACTGATGACCTATAAGGAGTTTTAAAAGTGTTTCCTATAGAAAATATAGGGTACTGAAGTTCGTCGCCATTTCACAAGTGCGCACAAATTTAAGGTTTGACAAGTTGGATATCTATTTACTCGGTGCAGCCTCAGCTTTTATATTTAAAAAAAAAAAAAAAAAAAAAAAAAAAGGGTAATTTATTGCTTTTTTGTGCCCTAAAATTAACTTTCTTGTACTTTTTACTGAAATTTTACAGTAATATCATGCGACATAAATAATTGGAACTACCACTATTTTATTCTCTAGGGTTTCTGCTTTCAGAAAATATATGTTTGGGGGTTTTATGTAATCTTCAGGCCTAAAGTGATTTTTTATTTTTTTTTTTTGTGCAAAAATTGCAAAAGCTGCTCTGGCAGTGAAAGGGATAAAGGATAAGCCTGACACTCCCCTTTCCTGACAAGCATCAATCGATGCTCACTACACTGCAAGGTCTCTCCCCTCCCTGCTAGTCCCCAGGTGCAGTGCTGGAGACAGGCAGGGAGGGGAGGAGGAGATAAACAGTTAAATGTTAAAATTATTACACGTTTAAGTCACCATGAAGCAGTTTTTGTTTTTAAAAGCCCCAGACATTCCAAAAGCTCCTCCGAGTTAAAAAAAAAAAAAAAAAAAACGTTTTTTTTTTTTTTTTTATCAGGACAAGTAGATTGTCATGAGGGACAAGTAGATTGGGGCATAGATTTAGTTCTTGGACAAGTAGTTCATTCAAAAATTCCCACACCCCTGCACGGCTAGGAATGAATCAATGTGTATTAGAGATCTTGTGATGATTCTTGCCTGGAGTTCTGCTTTAATTGGACTCTATAAAAACTCATACCAGTAAGATCCATTAGTATATGACTACTTTCTATTATAATGCAGCTTTAGAAACCACAGAATAATTTCCTTGCACTCATACCACGGTAAGATGGAGGTGGAGGAGCAGCTGCCACTTTCCGTGTCTTTGTGCCTGTTGTAACATCTGTCTGATGTGTAGTGTTTTGAAGTCGTTCTCTATTGTCCTTCTCCACTGACATCTCCCACTGTCGGCGAATTCGCTCTTTCAGTTTCTCCAGTTTTGTGTCAGGTTGCCGCCTCTTTAATGTCTCTAGCTTATTGCTTGAAGGACTAAATGACACATGCTGCTGGGAAGATTCTGATGGTTGCATTTCTCTAAAACCAGTTTGTAGGTCACTGTGAGACTGCTGTAATCTCCACTCCAGAGCATCAATGGCTAGTCGGTCATTCAGGTAGCGCACTGAGGTCTCATCCACAGCTGAAGTTCGTGTGCTGTCAAAGTCCTTTTCCTCTTGGACACCGTTATTTAAACCAGAATGAGGGTAAATAGTGATTTTTTCATTTGAAGAAGACAGCACACTTGTAGCTTCCCTAAAAAAAGACAGTGTGCATTTAAGAATTATTCTTGAAAATAGAAGTTTAGCTGCTGATAGGGAGGTAAAATGAAAAGAAAGAATATAAATGCATAGGTGGAAAAATTATTACAGGAGAGTTGTCTAGTCTCAAAGCTGACATTTTGTCTGAAGGAATTGGGCAAAAGATAATAAAAAAAAAAAAAAACATCACAGGTGTCAGATGTACCGTATTTTTCGCCGTATAAGACGCACCTGACCATAAGACGCACCTAAGTTTTAGAGGCAGAAAACAGGAAAAAAAAAATTCTGAACTAATGGACTGCAGACACAGTACAGGAGATGACCAGAGACTGCGGACAGCACAGGGATGACCAGAGACTGCGCACAGCACAGGGATGACCAGAGACTGCGCACAGCACAGGGATGACCAGAGACTGCGCACAGCACAGGGATGACCAGAGACTGCGCACAGCACAGGGATGACCAGAGACTGCGCACAGCACAGGGATGACCAGAGACTGCGCACAGCACAGGGATGACCAGAGACTGCGCACAGCACAGGGATGACCAGAGACTGCGCACAGCACAGGGATGACCAGAGACTGCGCACAGCACAGGGATGACCAGAGACTGCGCACAGCACAGGGATGACCAGAGACTGCGCACAGCACAGGGATGACCAGAGACTGCGCACAGCACAGGGATGACCAGAGACTGCGCACAGCACAGGGATGACCAGAGACTGCGCACAGCACAGGGATGACCAGAGACTGCGCACAGCACAGGGATGACCAGAGACTGCGCACAGCACAGGGATGACCAGAGACTGCGCACAGCACAGGGATGACCAGAGACTGCGCACAGCACAGGGATGACCAGAGACTGCGCACAGCACAGGGATGACCAGAGACTGCGCACAGCACAGGGATGACCAGAGACTGCGCACAGCACAGGGATGACCAGAGACTGCGCACAGCACAGGGATGACCAGAGACTGCGGACAGTAGATGACTGCGGACCTTTGGGGAGGTGGGAGGTGGGGAGCGGGTACCTGAATTTGACAGGTACCCGCTCTTACTTCTGCAGAGTTTTTGTTTGATCTTACCTGTTCCTCGATCCAGCCGCGCGCTGTCTTCCCGGCTTCTGTAATGGCGCTCGGCATGACAGCCGGGTGCCCAGTGTGCATGAGCGAGAAGCACTTGCGCTTTGTGATTGGTCCGGCGGCTTCTGGGATCTGTCATGTGTCCCAGGTACCGCCTTACCATTCACAAAAAGCACCGCTTCTTGCGAATGCGCACTTGGCACCCGGCTGTCATGCCCAGTGCCCACACTACAGAAGCCGGGAAGACAGCACGCCGCTGGATAGAGGAACAGGTAAGGTCCCGCTGCAGAGCTGAGCGGCTGGCCCGGTATTCTGACACGGCCGCGGTGGAAATACCGGACCGGACGCTCCATAAGACGCACTGACATTTCCCCCCCCAGTTTTGGGGAAGAAAAAGTGCGTCTTATACGGCGAAAAATACGGTAATTTCTATTCAGGCAGATTGACTAACTGCCTCTTAAGATATGTACTGTACATTTCCAGTTTAAAAAGACCACGTTACACAGACTATAGAGACTACATTACACCTACCGATACGAGGCCAAAGGTTCCCGGAACCCCACATGGCAAGAACTTTTCACATTGCTCTCCAGAGTAGTGACACGCAGCGGACTGCGAGAGGACTTTTCTCTGATGGGTTTTCTAGGGCGGGAACACTTGCTTGGGTGACTATTTGTATCCTCAAGATATCGTCCATCTACAGTTATAATCAAAGGAAAATTACAGAGGGGGAAAAAAAAAAAAAAACAACAAATACAACTTACCAATTATTGGCCAGAGATGTATCCAAAACATCCTACAGTCCTTTAGTGCTAAACCCATATAGCCACATGTATAACAACCTGAACATGCTGTCAGGTTGACAGTTGATGTCCTAGTCTGCATATCTGCAGCTCATTCACAGCTGGCAGAAACAGCTGTATCTAGTCAGTGTTTGTTAAAATCTAAACACAGATGCTGTGTAGCTGATTAATTGCTCAGAATGCCACAAATACAACATATTGAATTAAAACAACAGTATCTGATAGTTTCAATATCTGGAGTATAACCTGATTGCATTGACTGGTTTAGTTCATCTGTTATTCTTACCCTTTCTGCTCCCTCTCTTTCCCCACCCTTCCCTATAACCTCCCCAGTTTCCCTATGGTTCTCAGCTTGCACAATTGCAGGAATTATATCTTCAACTAATGGGTCTTCTTCTTAAACCAATATTGTATAACTTGTGTAATGATCGTGACTTTGAATTGCTTGTATAACTGTGAACCTTTTCTTGTAATTCTATTTGAAAATTCAATAAAAACAAGTTGAATATAAAACATTATCTTTATAAGATGCCGAAGAAACCCTGAAAGAAGAATTTTTTTTTTTTAAATCTAATGTATTTCCTGTTTAAAGTAGACCTGAACTTAAAGGGTAACTCCACTTTCATGGAAAAAATGAGCAAATGAAAAAAATATATAGCTTATGCAATTGTGACTTAAGTGATACTGTAAATGAATGTTATTAAAATGACATTTCCTTTTCAATCTTCAGAACTGTAATTTTCAGTAAAACGCAATGCAATTTGGAGATGTTCTGTACCCATATGGTGTACACAGCACCCCCTGAAAATGTCACTTTCTGTTTGTGTGATTGGCTTACTGATTTTCCCACAGTCTGCATTAAGATACAAATCAGATTTTGAGCATCCCTCGCAACAAAAATTTTTATTTTTGGTGAGATACCCCAGAAGAAAAATCACATCTAAAAAGGGATGCAGGCCTTGCAATTTTCCTCATTAGAGCCCTACAGGTGCAGCAGCCGATTGATAATTATAAAAATCATTCCCATACAGATTCACTCTGCACATGGACACAGACAAAACAAACATCTATTTCTTCAGAATAACAAAAAGGTAGGAATCTGCTACAAAGTTTGTTAAAAATCCTTGCGATGTACACCGATTGCCCAGAGGGGAATGTTTCTCAACAAAACTGGAGTTACTCTTTTAAGTATAACTAAACATTTTCTTTTTGTTTTGAAAAGTGGAGAAGAGTATGAATACCTGTCAGGTTTTATTGCGGTTTGTTCCCCTGTAAGGGAGATTCACCCTCTCTATTTGCCCTGTTAAATGGTTTTACTAAGTGTGAAAGAGAAAAAAAAATCCCATATTTTTGGCTGTCTTCAGAACAGAATAGAGAAGAAGCCATCCAATAAGAACACTAGTTCTAGTGACAACCAGAGATTTCCTTTCACATTCTGTTTTGGTTAAGGGGCAGGAAGTAAAGGGAAAACTCCTCAAATCAAACACAAATGGCAAAGAAAAAAAATATAGGGATTATAACCCTACCTATCCAAGAAAAAAAAATAAAGTTTCACCTTTATTTCTACTTTAGGAAGCAATGATCTGCTATGTTATAGGAGCTTTTAGAAATGATTATTGTGCCTAAGTAGGATCCTGAAAATTATGACCACTGACCGGTAAAGAGAGTAACATTGATTATCTTGTTACAATGACACGTGAATGTGGTTGGGATAGATTAGGCAGCAAAGTGAACCTGTTGTCCCTGAAGCTGATGTGTTGAAAGCAGAAAAAATGGGCAAGCATATGAATTTGAATGACTTTTACAAGGCTAAATTGCAATGGCCAGATGACTAGGGTAGGCATCTCCAAAACTGCAGCTCTTGTGGAATGTTCCTGGTCTGCAGAGGTCAGGATCTACCAAAAGTTGTCTAATGAAGGAAAACCGGCAACAAGGTCATGGGCAGACAAGGCTCACTGATGCACGTGGGGAGTGAAGGCTGGCCTTTGTAGTCCGATCCAATAGAAGAGCTACTGTAGTTCAAATTGCTCAAATAATGAATGCTGATTCTGATAAAGAGGTGTCACAACACACATCACATTGCACGCTGTAGTGTATAGGGCTGTGTACCCACAGAACAGTATGAGGCACATGCTTACCATAGCCAAAAGAACCTACAATGAGTATGCGAGCATCAGAACTGGACAACAGAGCAATGGAAAAAGGTGCCAGATGCTACAGAACACCGTCAGAGGTCTGGTGGAGTCCATGTCTTGTAGGGGCTGCTTAAGATTAGGTAGGTGGTCATGTTATGATGGGTAGTCATAATGTTATGACTGATCGGTGTATCTGCAGTGCTATACGGAGGCACAAAGCCTTAGATGAGCTCAGTCTCCTGAGATTTGGCAATGCCACTACTGTACTGTTAACGGTTTTCTTTGTTAGAGAGAAAACTGTACCTGAAGACATGCAGTGCAGTTTTCCATTCAATCATGACAAACAAAAAAAGTACTTATTAAAAAAAGTGTTTTTCTGCCAACATGAGACTTGATAACTAGACAGGGATGCCCTCTTTGTTATAGCACAGGAACCGCTACTAGCGACTGTGTGAAGGAATATATATAGACATAAAGGGATTTTTGATAGGAGACGTGGAACACAAGGTAGCAGCGTATGCAGATGATATGTAACCCCAGAGTAACATTACCCACACTAATGAAAACTTAATACTATAGTGAATTAACTAACTTGAAGTCAGAGATATTAAATATCAATGTTCCAAAGATAAACAGATATTAAAGAAAGCTTTTCCCTTTGTATGGATGGAAAAGGAACTAAGTTACCTAAGTGTTACGTTAACCCCTTGTTTAAAGAGTATATATCAGACAAGTAACATCCCATTAATAAATGAGTTGAAGGACGATTTGAGGAAAATATCCATTGGATCACTCTCTTGGATTGGCCGTATAAATTTGTTAAAAATGGTGCTAGTCCCAAAGGTTCTGTATAAAATTTCAAATGCTCCAAATATATTTACCGAAGTCATTCTTTGAGATAATAAAAAAAGATGATACTTAAATATATACAGTGGGGATCGAAAGTTTGGGCACCCCAGCTAAAAATTTGTATTAATATGCATAAAGAAGCCAAGGAAAGATGGAAAAATCTCCAAAAAGGCATCAAATTACTGATTAGACATTCTTAGAATATGTCAACAAAAGTTAGATTTTATTTCCATCATTTACACTTTCAAAATAACAGAAAACAAAAAAATGGCATCTGCAAAAGTTTGGGCACCCTGCAGAATTTATAGCATGTACTGCCCCCTTTGCAAAGCTGAGACCTGCCAGTGTCATGGATTGTTCTCAATCATCGTCTGGGAAGACCAGGTGATGTCAAGCTCAAAGGTTTTAAATGCCCAGACTCATCTGACCTTGCCCCAACAATCAGCACCATGGGTTCTTCTAAGCAGTTGTCTAGAAAACTGAAACTGAAACTAGTTGACGCTCACAAAGCTGGAGAAGGCTATAAGAAGATAGCAAAGCGTTTTCAGATGTCAATATCCTCTGTTCGGAATGTAATTAAGAAATGGCAGTCATCAGGAACAGTGGAAGTTAAAGCAAGATCTGGAAGACCAAAAAAAATATCAGACAGAACAGCTTGCAGGATTGTGAGAAAAACAATTCAAAACCCATATTTGACTGCACGATCCCTCCAGAAAAATCTGGCAGACACTGGAGTTGTGGTACACTATTCCACTATAAAGAGATACTTGTACAAATATGGTCTTCATGGAAGAGTCATCAGAAGAAAACCTCTTCTACATCCTCACCACAAAAAATCATCGTTTGAACTTTGCAAATGAACATATAGACAAGCCTGATGCATTTTGGAAACATGTTCTGTGGACCGATGAGGTTAAAATTGAACTTTTTGGCCGTAATGAGCAAAGGTACGTTTGGAGAAGAAGGGGCACAGAATTTAATGAAAAGAACCTCTGTCCAACTGTTAAGCATGGGTTGGATCAATCATGCTTTGGGGTTGTGTTGCAGCCAGTGGCACAGGGAACATCTCACGAGTAGAAGGAAAAATGGATTCAATAAAATTTCTGCAAATTTTCGATGGTAACTTGATGCCATCTGTGAAAAAGCTGAAGTTAAAGAGAGGATGGCTTCTACAAATGGATAATGATCCTAAACACACCTCAAAATCCACGGGGGATTACATCAAGAGGCGTAAACTGAAGGTTTTGCCATGGCCTTCACAATCTCCTGACCGCAACATAATTGAAAATCTATGGATAGACCTTAAAAGACAGCCAAGAAATCTCAAAGAACTGGAAGACTTTTGTAAGGAAGAATGGGCAAAGATACCTCAAACAAGAATTGAAAGACTCTTGGCTGGCTACAAAAAGCGTTTACAAGCTGTGATACTTGCCAAAGGGAGCAGTACAAGATATTAACTCTGCAGGGTGCCCAAACTTTTGCAGACACCATTTTTTTGTTTTCTGTTATTTTGAAAGTGTAAATGATGGAAATAAAATCTAACTTTTGTTGACATATTATAAGAATGTCTAATCTGTAATTTGATGCCTTTTGGAGATTTTTCCATCTTTCCTTGGCTTCTTTATGCACATTAATACAAATTTTTAGCTGGGGTGCCCAAACTTTCGATCCCCACTGTATATGGGCAAATAAAAGACCAAGGGTGAACTATGAGATACTGTGTAACGATAGAATGAATGGGGGCCTGAACATGCAGGATTTTAGGAGATATTATTGTGCAGTGTTGGTTTCACGACTAGCAGATTGGATTTATAACTCACAGGGAAAAACCAGGGTTAGGATGGAAAGTGCACTGAGTGAGTCACAGTTAGATAAGATTATATGGCTTCCACAACAGTTTAGAAATTGTTCTGAAAGTACTAGCACTTTGACATGAAATGTTTTTAGGATATGGAATAGTAGGGGGGTGGGAATATAATTCACTGTAATACCATTGGTGGGGACAGAACTCTTCCCTCTGGGGAAAGAGAATATTGCAGGGAACTGCATAAAATATAGACATGCACTTTTAAAAGATATCACTAAGAAGGGGGAATTGTGAACGTTTATAGATTTAAAAAATAAGCAGGAAATTTTTCTTAGGTTAGATGAGTGGCGGTATTATCAATTAAGACACTTTGTTACAGCACTCCCACATCCACTAAAGGATGGTGGAAGACATAAATGCAAGGGGTGACATGCCTTCACATTGTGTCCGTGCTAAAAAATTGTTCCAATGGATTCATAAGATTTTTAATGGTATATCTGGAACGTCTCTCCACCATTCTTGGAAAAGTGGGAAAAGGAATTAGGAACAAAATTAAATGAACAAGAATAAAAGAAAATATTTCATTAGGTTCATGGGGGCGGTGGATATGAACACTGTAGAAATGAACTATAAATGTTTAGCAAGGTGGTATGTTACACCTAGTGTGGCACATAATCAACAAATAGAAAATTCACCGTTATGTTGGAGGGGATGTTGGAAGAAAGGAACAATGGCACATATATGGTGGGATTGTCCCAAAAATAGAACAATTTTGGCAGGGAACAATACAACAAACACACGAGATAACAGGGATTTAGTGTTTTGAAGGATCCCTGTGTCTGTTTATTTCATAATACCAACCTTACGGTAAAATAATACAAGAACACAATGATATTTCATTAAATAAAGGCGGCAAAAGGACCGATCCCTAGATTCTGTCAGGCTCAGGAAACATCAAACATTAAAGATTGGATAACTGGAGTGGAGTTTATATACAGGATAGAAGAACTAGATCATATTGGAGAGGATAGAATTAAAAAATTGAAAAAAAATTTGGGACAGATGGTTGGGGTTTAAAAAATCCACAAGATACCTAGAATTGACTGCAGTGTAAAAGAGGATCAGGAAAGGAAGGGAACTGATGGTTTTTCCACTTTTTGATAGGCAGGGAAGGAGTGTGGAGTGAGATAAATAAGATGTTAAGAATAAAAATAACGGAACAAGAAGAAAGAGGTTTAAAGTAGGAGGTGACCAGATGTGGGGGGAGAGGTGAGAGGAAGGGAATTTGTAAAACTTGTAATGGAGATATGTTTTTATTATTTGAAAAGTGTTGTAATTATAATTTAAAATGAATAAAAATATAATAAAAAAACAAAACAAAACATGAGTTCTGATTTACATGAAAAGTGCATTTTAAATGATGGGTGCATTAATTTGTACAGGACATCCCTCCAGAGCCTTTTATAGTAAACCCATGAGAAGACAAACCAGCTTGCGTGGCTTCTACATCTGAATATATTTCCCACAAGGAGAAATAGAGCAAGAGGTGTCACAATGAGGCTTTGTAAATGTGCACAAGTTAAACAGATTTCCTGTTTGGCAAATTAAGCCAAATTACATGGCCAAATGACTATGGATAGTTGCCAATATCCATGGGAAGTGCATGGACTTACAAATGGCAAGACTTTGTTCTACAAATAAATTACTGCACACCATAGCAGGGGCACAACATTTTACCAAGGAAGCAATGTGAAGAACAAGAAGAAGGTTAACAACCATGCAATCCATGGATGAGTAGTGGCAAAACATACCCTTCCTACTTATTTTTTCGAGTAGCACCAACTGGCTTCCTGGCATCCATGATGGGATCAAAAATGACGCTGCTTGTGGGGGCCACATCCAGCTTATTTTCAATATGCCTCAGCTGCAAAGGAACAGAAAAACACATTTAACAGAATCAGATCATTTGCTGCAATCTAAATATTTCTCACTTGTCATTCATCCTGTCACTCTTTTTGAGGAACTTCCTGTCCTGAAACCTAAATCTCTATAGTTGATAGCACTTCTGACCAGCTACGAGCCTAAGTGTGTGAAAACAAACAACAGCGTTGTCACTGGTTCTAGTTCCACCAACCCTGAATAAAGTGCAGCCTCTTCCACACAGAATTCGCAGTCCAGCCAGGAAGTCCACTTTGAAACTCTGTTAAAGCTGGCTACAATATATTTTATAAAGCGCATTTGTAATGGTAACATGAATGGAGATTTGACAAATTCAGTCAAAACGTGTTCATGACAAAGACTAGCATTTTATAGACTATACTGATCCAGGAATTGATCTACAGGTATGAACATTTCTGAACATTTGTGCAAATGTACGTGTTTCTGTTCATAACAAATCAGATACCTCATTTCATATGAAACCAAGACGGCACAGCAGTAACCATCTTGCAGGCACGCTGACTCTCAGTGAAGACTAGGAAAGAGCTATCCATCAAAGTGGAAATGTACTTCCCTCCCTCCAGCGATGACAGATTAAACCTGTCCCTTTCTGCTGCATCTGCCCATGCCTCCATCTTCTGGGACTGAGTGGCCACACTTGATATAACTCCAGCATAAGCATGCGATAATTACATCATGGCTGGCACCTGGCTACATTCTAGGCATCTGAGCCAGGGTGTACAATGCTTTGCACATATGCTGCAGGCAATGTAAGCAATTAAATTGGAAACATTTAAAAAGTAGCCTAAAGCTCCATCTGCTGATTCAATGTAGAATACAAAACATTAATACAAACAATTTTCAACTTGGCTAACTAAACAAAAAGCATAAAAAAAAAGCATAATTTAGGAAATTATTTTTCAGTCCTAACCATAGCTAAAAAAATACACAAATATCACAATCACCATTACGTTTGATTTAACACAACCACCTAGAATTTACATTGTGCCAATCAACTGGGTCTATTGTACAGCCTTTATATACTGCAAGAGCCCCTGAATCGTTAAGCAGTGTAAAATAAATTTGTAAATTCTGTCTAAAATTGTATTTTGAATGCTTTGCCTATGTATTGTACACTGCACTCATTGTGCTCACAACACTAATAATGTTTTTATTACATGTTTGCATTCCTTCAAGTCCTGATTAGAAATTAGCTTGCCTATGCAACACCCCTTGTTACCATAAAAGTACAATTGTAATATTAAGGTTATTGAATCATCAAATAATATTAAAAAAAATATTATATAATACCTCTCCCTAACCAGGGAGCCACAAAAGTGGTTGCTATTGTAATCACCGACTAACCTTACTGTAACATGGTGGGGTACTCAAAAACCAAAGCAAAGTAAAATAAAATATTGGGGGATCAAGAAGAACCCCTCAAGAAAGAGGTTTTAAAAGAAAACTAACAGCGGTATAAATAAAACAAACAGCTTTATTGAATTCACAAAGAGGTAATAGACTTATTAGGCCAACAGATCCTCCATTCACATTAAAATGAGGTATAACGTTTTTACCTTAAAATGACCCGGGCCACACACAATAACAAATACGTTATACAATTACCCTCCTTCTTAAATGAGCAAAGTTGATGAGTCAATTCAATCCATAGTCTCATACATTGGAAACACCTGTATTCAGCCACATAGGCAGGTAACTGAGCTCTGGGAAATGGGACTCACCAAACAAACCAAGGCCTTCATAAAATTAACAACACATTAAGTTGCATTTACATGAAAGGGGATTTGAATGAGAAACCAGTATGAATATAGGGGCCATACAAGTGCCAATCGGTGCCACTATGGGAATATATCCCTGTTGTTCACAGTGAAGATGCTTCAATATAGGCGGTTTAGAAATGCACACAGCTTAATGATGATGAGGATTGGAGGCCGATTAGCCAATACAGCCAAAAAGGACCGGCCCAGCTTATTCACAGATACATGGAGAATAGTGGCATCCGAAACCAGTTCAATAGTTGTCAGTGTCACTAATGTTCAGTTTGAATGAAAAGCTCACAGCTTAATGATGATGAGGATTGGAGGCCGATTAGCCAATACAGCCAAATATAGCCAGCCCAGCTTAGTCACAGATGCATAGGGAGTAATGGCGTCCAGAGTCAGTGTAATAGTTGTTAATGTCATTAGAGTTGAAGTAAGTTTAAACCATACAAGAGGTGTAGAACTAGTAGCATTGAAACGGCAGGTGCTGCATAAACCGTGCCCGCAGGCTCTCACCACTCCAAGCGTTATGGGCATCTAGTGACGATGCAGCGATCTTCACATGGTTGGCAGACAATATGACGGCATTAAATCTCACTCAAGTAAGCAGACTGTGACAGCCTCCAAAAACCCCGCCGGGTTAGAGTAGATGACCCTGTGGCTGTTAAGGCTCAGCGCGGTAGTCTTAGGTAGTGTAGCGGAGGTGGTGTATAGGTTACTGCCATGCTTGAGTCAGCGTGAGGCGGATCCACACATTACCAACTGTGTAGGCGTGGCCCAGGGACTAGCTGACGCTGCCTACGTTGTTATTAATATTAATGTGATACCTACATAATCATGTGTATAAAAAAAAAAGCAAACAAAAAAAACCCCCCAAAAACTTAAAAATACGCAGAATAAACAGAACAGTTAGTTGGAAATATGCTGAGTATCTTTTCTGTGTTTGTACCCTTCTGCAGTAGTTATTAATTTGGAACCACTAATCAATATGAAGATAAGAGTTGCCCATCTATAAATTTTCAGTATTAATGCCCAGAACAGCAACATGTTGCGATAGATACATTCATTGATAATATTCCTTGTGGTTATTATGAAGCATTTTAAAGTGTAATTGTACCTTTGGTGCAGCTGCTCTTTATGTCACAGCACCCCTTGCCATCAGAATCATCTGTTCCTAAAGCACAGAAATGTTGCTGATTTCTGAAGAAAATTTTGTGGTCCAGCCCAAACACGCAACAGATTGCTGGCCTACTGCTGCAAGACTCTGCAGTGGTACACGCAGTTTTCTTGTCCTTACACAGTGCTGTATTGGATTTTTTAATGTAAGTGCATTACTTTGGTTGAAACAAAACTTGCTAAGGATTTTACACTATGGGAAGCTTCTCGGTTACATGTATCTGCCCTCTATATGCCTAATACGGTTATGCATTTGGAGTGCAGAAATGTTGTTTGCTAAACGGTTGGAGGTTTGGAGGAGACTGCAGCAGTTGCCATTTGAGTATGCTTGGGCCTAATTTGACCATTCTATAATATGATGGTCAAATTCATCTGGTAAGCCTCCCTTGAGCACTGGGGTGACACTTAGTGTATTTGTATACACTTGATTACCTTTTAGTCACTGGAGACACGATTGGATTTAAGGATATTTCGAGTGCTTTTTGGCACTGGGACTGATTTAATCACATCACAGTGGTCGTTTTTCGTTTGTTATAATTTGTTCACAATTTATTTAATTTTGTTAATTAGCACGGCACTTTTACACGCATGTTCCTTACATTCTTAGTATCAGAATATAGTTCATGGCAGAATGTGCTTTACTGACCAGCGTGGATTATATGCCATTTTCACATACTACTGAAATATGTCTGAACCCAGAGACACAGAAGTGTCAGGAGGCTTGTAAAGTCAGGGCAACCACTGAGAACAAGCATGATCAAGCAGCCCCTGCAGGGGTAGCGCTACACACAAGTCTGAATGGGGCAGAGAAACGACATTTTAAAATAGAACACAAAGCCTTTTCCATCATTCCTCTTTGCCAGGATGACATTTCGATAAGCTAGTAGAAGAATTAGCTAGGTTCGTTTATGAAGGTGTAGACCTTAAGACTGTAACGTTTAAAATTTAATATTTAAAAAGCAGAATCTCTCTTACAGAGAGAATACTTATACAGAATACTCACAGCAGCTTTGGCATTAGAGATCTCCTTCCATGCTTTGCTGATCTCTGCAAAAAGAGAAGCAATATTACTCCAATGCTTCGTATTAATATGACATTCCACATACATGCAGCCCCTTTAAAATTAGTTTTGCTAGCCTTCTACAGCTGTGAATTAGAAAGTGTTGCATGATATACAGAAAAGAGTGGTGATTTGGTACAAGGTTTATACAAGGCTTTCTGGGACATGGTCATTTTTCTGCTTATAAACAGGATTTACAACAATCCCAATCTGTCAATCTGATGCAACCCAATTTCCCAGCAAAAACTACAGTGCAAGCTCAGATAGTTTATTTCTACTTTTCCTGGCTAGGAGATCTGGACAGTGTGCTGCACACCTATAAGTAGAAACACAAAACTGCATACGCAGGGACAAAACAGACAGTAACAAGTGTTATCGGTACCTTGAATAGTCTCCTGAGGCTGCAGATGTGTAGGGTCCTTGCAATATTTTCCTGTCCTCCATAAACTCCTCTCAGCCATTCATCTATAATTAACAAAAGAAACCGTGCAGAGAAATGACTAAACTTCAGAAAGCAAGAGTGTTCAGCTTCGCACCCAGCTACCCTTTACCCCCTCCTTCAAAATGCTCAGTGCAGGCCAAGCTGTCATAAGATCCACAGTGCTGGAGGCTTTCTCCAACAGCTGCCAGGGACGTGGATCAAATGAAGGCTCCCAGATACTAGCGATTTAATGAGGGACAGTGCCCAGCAAATGTGTTACATGCATTAGTCTTTATAGAGAGCTCTGGCCTTCTAGTGTTGACTGGTATTAGAATTAAAGAGAGGATATATTTATATAAAACAGCTGTTAGGTTTTGGCTGGATGGCAGCAGGTTGAGTAGTCTGCCAAGTTATCATCTGCAGGTATCTTTATGTCACATTTTCATTGAGCTCTTTCAAGCCTCCAACATTTTTAGCAACCAGATAGAATTGCAGCAAAAAAAAAAAAAAAAAATAAGTGCTTTTTAATAAGTCCAACAAGCTGCAGTATCAGCAATCAGAACACATGTAAATAGCCAAGTCCAGGAGGTGACACACAGCTTGTTGGACATAATCGTGTATAAAATCTTCTTGAAGTCATGTTTATTTCTGGTACATGTCCACTTTAAGTGATGTTAAACCTATAACCAGAAATTTAATATATTGCAGCTTTCCAATCATTAGGTGTGGTGGCTGTCTTCGGTTTCTTTTTTTTTTTTAGGCTTTTTTTCCCCCCCCCTCTGTTTTCACCTGGTGATCTGGCCAATAACACACCTGTATTAGAGTGCCCCCACTCTGGATGAAGGAGCAGGGAGGGCACAAATGGGTGTGAAATTGAAACAAAAAAAAAAAAAAAAAAAAACTTACTTGTCAAAAAGGGACTAAATCAGGGTCCCAATCTACTTGTCCTGATAAAATATAAATACATTAAACCAAACCAGTGTTTAAATAAGGTTTAGGAGATAAACGACTTTGTCGGAGTCACACCAATTAGAAAAGTACTTCCTGTACTACTTTTGCCGATTTGGGGTGCGACTTTCATAAACATCTGTGCATGAAGTTGCACAAATGTCCATGAAGTCACACCACCATCCGACTTTGAAATCGTGCGACTTCAAGAGAAGTTTCACAATTTCCATGCCAGATCCAGTGTGAACCAGTGGTAAATGGTTTGTCTCAATCCTCTAAACTGCTACATTTGCAGAAGAACTAAAAATTGGTAAGCTGCAATATAATGAAGCTTTGTTTTTGGATTTAATACCACTTTAAAGTCGAACTCAAGTCAAAAGTGTTTTCTAGCTTGTTTAAAGGGTTTTAAATGGTCAGGTTGCATTGCAGTAACTGTTCCCACTGGGATATTTCCTCTCACTTCCTGTCCTGAAGACAATCTCTGCAAGAGGACAGAAAAATCCATCTGACAATAGTCAATGGAACAAGTGTCCCCTGTGGAAGATTTTCCTATGCAACAGTATGTTTAAAAGCTGTAAAAAACCATTCCTGGTGCTATTTCTGCACCACATAAAACAGGTCAGAGCTTTTATTATCCAATGAGCTGCCATATCTTTTCTTGACAAATCAGGTAAAGGTCTCATGTCTGTGAGGTATTCACCGATAATTCCAGCTTGAGGCATAACAGAGGAAAACTGCAAAAGGACAGAAGAGGATACCCTGTACACTCAATATAGCTTTTCCAGGCCGAGCTAGTAACAGTAATCGTCTGAAGTACCTCCTTTCTACTTTGCAGAGCCAAAAAAAAATGGCCAACCAAGCATCCATATTTACACAAACATTGAGCACTGTTTTAGGGATTGAAGCACATTCTTATATGTTTTTGGGACTTTTTGTTTGGACTTTTTACACATTTATATTTTTTTTTTTGCGCTGTGGAGTGTTAATATTTAGTTTTTTCCTTTCATGAGCACCAGCATTTAGAATTTGATTCTATTATATATTTTTTTTTCTGTGGCGCAAGTTTTTTATTTTTTCAATATTTACAAACATACCTGTAGACTCAGGTTCCTGAGTACAGTTGGATTGTGTGCCTGTACATCCGGCTGCTCTCTAGTGTCTTAACCACTTGCCCTCTGGAAGGCTTTATGCCCTTCATGACCAGAGCATTTTTTTGCTATTCAGCACTGTGCTCATTTAAACTGACCATTGTGCGGTCATACAACACTGTACACAAAAAAGCAGACAGTAATTTTTTTTTACATCCGGTTATCAGAGTAGCTCAGTGTCACCATAGTGACACATTACTACTCTGGGGTGGGGAGGTGAGCAGGGATTTTTTTTTTTTTCACCGTCATTGCCTATACGGTGATCATCACTGCATAAGCAATAGATTTAGCTGTTATGAATAGGTTTCCCGTTCATGAACAGCGTACTTATGGATGTGATCTGAGATTGGCTACAGCTAATCACATAGTACAGGTAACCAGGTACCATGTGACTGTTGTGAACCAATCACAGATAACAGTAAGCAAGCTGTTCATGAATGGAAAGCCATTCGTGACAGGTAGTCTACATTGTCATTATGTGAACGCTATGACCAATCATAACGAACGCATGATACCCAGTTACTGGTAACGCTAATCTGCTGTGTCCAGTGGACAAAGCGGTCACAGGAGGGGCGTGCTGCAAGCTCCTAACCTGGAAGAGGCAGAATCATGTATATATTTGTGACTGCCTGGACCTGCTGCTTCGGTCAATGTGCAGTGGCAGGGCAGCAAGTTGTTAACCTCCTTGGCGGTATTCCCGAGTGTAGCTCGGGGTAGAATTTCTATACCAAGAACGGTAACCCCGAGCTACACTCGGGCTTACCATGCAGCGTTCTCTGGGGGTCCCTGCAGCACACTTACCTTGTCCTTTGCTCCCACGATGGGTCCCCTGCAGCAGCGTCCCCGTCCATCTCCTCCGGCGGATGCCGGCATCTGGCTTCCGTGTTCCGGTCCCTGTGACGTCGGAACGTTCGGGCGGCGGAACCGGCGGGAAATTTGAAATTTTTTAAAATGACATTTTTGCTGTCATTGCTTTTTCACTGCATTTCACATACATTTTGTCCCCACTGCTTTGTCCTGTGCCCTGCCTGCATTTTGACTGTTCTTTCTGCCTGGAAACTTAGAAAAGTCCATGGCGGCCAAAAAAGCGTCCCTTTACGTCAAAAGCGGTTTTAGAACAGCGATAGTAAATCAGAACCACTTGCAGAATTGAGTGATAATGATTTGTGGGGAAATTCGTCAGACACTGAAAACGATTTTGCGACTTTGCTCAGCGATGTGCGAATTTGCCTCTGTATTTCAAATTTCAGTGTTTTTGGTTTGATTATATTATTGAATTAAATTTATTATTATATTATTATTTTTTTATGATTATTTATTAAATTATAATGTATGATTTCGTGTTTCAGGTTTTATCTTATCTGGAATGTTTAATAGACTCTTTTTTCGGATAGATTTCAGTGAGTTATTCCTAAAAATTACAGCCTACAATAAAAAACTACATATTTCCATGCAAAAAAATGGTACCGCTTTCAGCACAAAAAAATCGGAAAGAATCATACCGCCAGGGAGGTTAAAGAACTTTTAAGGCCATTTCATCAACATGCGTATGCAGCCATCCAGCAGTCACATTTTCTTTTAACATCCTTTCCCAATCAGCAAAGCTCAAGCTGCTTGGAAAGGTGTAGCTCTGACTCTGCAGGTGTGGTGGACCACTGCAGGTAGACCAATGCTTCCACATAGAAAGCACAGGTCCTTCTCTGCAGCATGCTAGCAGGGGACAGGATTATTGCTCAGGCTGTCGCTGCTCTCTAAATAAATTACACTGCAACACCTTTTAACTGAAGATTTAATTGGGATTTAATAACCATAATATGAATAACATGAGCAATTAAAATTACATACAAGCATTGGGCACTGTCAAAAAGCCTGTGATGAAAGAAATCTGGGTGTAGCAGATGGGAGTTTTCAGAAGCCGAGTAGGTGTAAGAACTCACAATTACATTCCTATAATCATTCATAGTAGGGCTGGTCATGAAAAAGAAATAGATGGCTATTGAGTGGAATTGTCCATTATTATGGAGAGCAATAGGAGTCATGTTTCCAAAAAAAACCTATGATGATAGGTTTTCATTGTTTTGTTCTTTCTGTTCCATGTTTACCATCTGCAAATCCAGGTTTTAGTTTCAATTAAAAAAAAAAAAAGCCACTCTACTACAAACACCGATACCCTACATGCTTCTTCATGGCTGCAAGTAAGATACAGTGGCAAGCTATGCAGATACTGGCCAATATGCCTTTTAGTACAAGGTAAGCAATACAAGTGGAGCCTTAAAATAATTGGATCTAAGCAACTAACTATAAATTGTACATTTCTCAATGTAAGAATACAAGCTACTTCATGAAAGGCTAGGTTCAGGAAGATCTTCCTCCTGCTGGAGAGAAAGGAAAGCCATGCTCCTTTTGCTACACAATTCAAACAGTTGCCACCACTACCTGTGATCCCCTTCTCTTGGGATTTGATTCAAATACACTGACAGGAGTTCCCTAACAGAATTTCAACAATTCTTGTTCAGGCACAAATCTCCCACCAAGATGTATTAGACGCAAATAATGTGGTTGTAAATCATGACATACACACACTGAATGACTAACCTCAGGAGATACAGAGATGACACCAAACCTCCTACATAAGTTGTACCTGTTTATCTGCACCCGCTCCCTATACAATCTCCTAAAACATACATTGTACACAGTATCTCCGAACTTCAAAAAGCCAGGGGCGAGGATATGAACTCACACACTGCACAGCACTAACAGGACAGCCAAGTGTAATCTGAGAAGTGGGTGCAGAGAATGGCCCCCCCTTTACACAGTCTCATCGGGAAACGTGCACAAATGAGGCTGTCAGTCAGGGGGAATAGACTGGAGAGGAATTAGAAAGCCTGTTAAGCTTTTAGTGCTGGGTGTGCCCCTTTAGGGAGATTCACCCTCTTTACTTGTC